TAAGAGTTTATTAAAAGTCAAGTACATAATTGATAATAAGAACCAGAAATGCTCAGGGGAAGCCATACAGAGCATATGATGCATTCCCTCTTTCATTGTACACTTCACTCTGTTTCTTCAAATTAATTTTGTTCTTCAAATACTTCACTGTTAAATCAAAACACTTTTTCCGCCGAGAATAACTCTTGAAAAAGTCTAAATCATCGACCATCTTAATGTGGTTTGAATCCACAATCTTAGATCGATCGTGGGCAAGCAACATCGAGTGGATGAACCAAACTAAAGAGCACTTCAACTTCTACTCCTTATTCAATCGGTTACCCTTAATCAAATTCATAAACTTTGTAGCAGTGATATTATTATTCTTGATCAATTTATAAAGAAATTTCTTAGCTATTTGAAGTACTTTTATCATTTTTGAATCACGGGGGTATGCTGAGCGTGCAATTCAGCCTCGTAATCAATGCAAGCTCTTTTAAGCCAAAACAAACAGCCTTATCATTCACACAAAATCACATCTCATGTAATTTTTTTAAATCATTTTTGACACGTCGCAACAACATATAATGGACCATCTGTCCATTAAACTTAATATTCTGGAATATGTCTTAAATGTCCAAAACAAGTACCATTAAAGTCATTATAAAAAAAAAAATTGGACTAAAACATTTCTAAAACCACGATAAAGAGTCATTCTTGATGTAACACCCCGTATTCGAAAATAGAGATTTCAGATTCCTGGTGTTACAGGTGGCACTCACGGACACCATCCACGGACCGTGGATAGACTCACGGTCCGTCCTGCAGGTCCGTGGTTCATGACAGAAAACTTCCCCAGAACTCAGTCAGAAAATTTGGCTAAGTGTTGACCCATGGCCGGACTTACGGTCCGTATGTCAGGTCACAGACCGTAGCTCGTGTCCGTGGATCGATGTCCCAAAAGCCCAGCTTCAGTACCGATTGACGGTTGACCAGCACGGACCGTCAATCGATCCACGGTCCGTAGGTCTGACCGTAGGTGAGGATTAGCTGCCAGTTAGATGAAAATTGTGATTGGGTCAACTTCAGATGGTCATAACTCTTAGCACAAAATGAATTATGCGTCCCATGTCCTATGGTAAGATAGATAATTGAATCCTCTTTCCAACGCCACTGAGTTTGCTAAATTCTGACATTCGAGTAAAACGTTATGCTCGTTTTAGTGAAGCCCTGTTGGGCAGACTCGACTGACGGTTCCAATTGACGGACCGTCGATTGAATGACGGCCCGTCAGTCCCGTCCGTCAGTCACTCCGATAGCAGTTAATTCAGGGGTCTTTTGGTCTTTTCCTATTTCGTTTAACCCCTTAGATACGTCGTTTAAACCCTAAATCATGAGGTTTTAGTCAGTTTAAGCCTAGAAACATAACTAGAACTTACCTTAGTCAAAATCATTAATCAAAACTTAGAAAATTAGAAGCAAAAGAGGAGAAAAAGGTCAAGAACCCTAGTTCAAGAACGCAACAAGTTTTCTTCAGTTCCAGCCCCGAAATCGAAAGATTTCTCCGTGGAATTCGTCACCAGGTGTGTGGGATTGCACTAGTGGGTTCATTTCGCCCATTAGGTCCCTAGAATTCAGTCAGATTCTTGATTCCATGAATATGAACAGACCTAGGGTTTCTAGAATTTCAACAGACCATCATGAATTAGTTATTTAGATGTTCCAAATCAGATTATCATGTTATTACTCAGCTTATTGCATGAATTTCAGAACCCTAGCTATATATTTCTTTAGTTCTTGAATTTCACATGGTAGGTCAGATATCTCAGTTATTCAGTTATACATGCCTCAATTATTAATACATTAATATCAGATTAATTGTTGCATTCTCAGTTTGCATGTTCAGTTTTGAGCTATCCAGTACTTTACAGGACTTCAGTCATAACCAGTTAACCACTTAATTCATTGGGAGTAGCATAATACCGAGTTGGACTAGGGTTCAGCGTACCCATATAGTCCCAGAACTACGAGCCACGTAGGTGTAAGTCCCATCTGTGGGCAACATCAGTTTAGTGATCACGCCAGCATGCCTCTATACCTCTGGTAGGGTATATTGGGTCCTCTCGATGGGGCATATACATCAAACTCCACATTTAGCTCATGTGGTTTTATGTCGGTTATTAGTAGCTCCCACAGTTCAGTCAGACTATATTGCATTGACCGTATTTTAGTACAATCAGTATTCAGTCTCAGCATGTTTAAATTTGGTCATTGCATTCAGTTAGCTCAGTATTCAATATCTATATCATGTTCAGATTATTTCATTGCTTTATTGCTTTGTTAAGTTATATGTTATTTCAACTTTACTCTATTCTGCATGCTCAGTACATTTAAAGTACTGACGCATACGTGCGCTACATCTTCTCGTGATGTAGGTTCAGGTTCTCAGCATCGAGATCACGCTTAGATCGGTTCCCAATCTCCAGTTCAGCAACATAAGTGGTGAGTCCTCATTTTTCGAGGACAATAGTCATGAGTTTCCTTTCAGTATTTTAGTCCTTTAGTTTCAGTTTTGCTAGACTTAGCTGGGGCCTGTCCCAGCATTTCTAGTCAGTTAGAGGCTATTTTCAAACATAGTTAGATTCAACTTAGTATTGAGTTAATAGCTTCTTTGTATTAAACTCATCAGTTTTCATATATCTCAGTTATAGTATATGGGTATTTCCCCATCTCTTCAGTTTATTTATGATTTAGCTTCCGCATCAGTTTATTATCTTTAGTATGCTCATGATCATGCCAGCAGGGTTAGCTTGGGATCACTTGTGGTCCTAGGTCCCGTGTCCGCGTCTCAGGGGTAGCTCAGAGCGTGACACTTGCTCTCACAGATGTTTTCGCTGGAAAAGATCCCAACTCATCCATCCATGTAGTTAGATTATAGGACTTACCAGAAATTTCTCTTGCACAAATTGGCAAAGACAGGGGATCATCATCTTCATCTCCAATATCTCGGCTATCTCTACTACTCTCACTATAAGAAAAGTGTAAATTACATGGGAATTTTCCTGGGGATTAGTATGAAAATTCGTAGGAAATTTATTTTCTTGCAAATTTTAATACTGATTTCCAAGAATATCCTCATGTAATTCACACTTTTCTTGTAGTGTCTCCTCATCTCCACTATCAGTTTTTTCTTCACTAGACTCAATATCATCAGTATCCTGGCCACTACTATCCTCATAGTTGTCAATCTCATCCATCGTATCAGAATCCGAGTTAGACTTAGGTTCTTCAAGTGCAATTTTTTTCTTTTTTGAAGATCTTGAAACTTCTTCAGCCTTTTTTTTCTTGTTTTAGAAGGCTTATGAATAGATCGTTTAACAATGCCTCCTCTAGTTTTTTCCATACTGTATTATATACAAAAGTATAATTTTCATATCAAAATATCGACCACTAGTCTATTAATACAAACAGAGTAATGCTAAAAAAAATATGCAAAACAAGTACCAGTTTCAACAAAACTCGACAATGTCATAGACATAAACACCATTAAAGTTGACCAAAATACAGTAAGAACTTTCAAATCGATAGGCCAGATAAACATAAAAAATCTAAAATTTCTACGCATTAATTATCCAAAGCAAAACGTCAATAATGATTCCGAATACAAAGCATCAACTAAAACGGTCAGATTTTCAGAACTTTAATCAAAAATCTAAACTTCGCTACACTATCGCAATAAAAACATCAAATAGGCTAAAACTTATTGAAAACACGATTAAACTTACTTGAGAGGAAGGAGATTTCAAAAAGATCCAACTGAACTTGGGAAGAAGATCGAAAAAAAATTCAACTGACTTGGGGAACAAGATTGATGAAAAAAAAAACTTCACTTCGTTTTTCAAGAACGATTATAGGATCTAACGATTATACGATTATAGGAAGATGGAATTTTTGTTGGAGAATGATCAGTTTTATGGAGGTTGATGATTTCGTAAAGCGGGTTTATGGAAGAAGACGAAGAGTTCTCTGAAACGTTCTGAGGTTTCCTCGAAAAATGTTTATACCTAATATTATTAAATATTTTTTTATACTTCTAGGGATTGTAATTTAATTTTTTATTATGGATGGATGAATTTATCTAATGTTAAAGTGTTGGGATGAAAAGGGATGAATTCATCAATAAATAATATTTTATCACAATATAATATTTTTAAAAATTTATTGGGACTATAATATATTTTTGTAAAGTTATATCTTTTCTCCAAGTTTTAAAAATAATAAACAAGCCCATGACCCCATATTCACAAATATACCCCAAGTTTTAAAAATGCCAAAGAGACCCATGACCCCACACTTTTTTCTTTTTAAAAAGCCCAACCCTAGAAAATAAACCAAAATTAAATTAAGTGGGTATAAAGTAAATTAAGTTATAAAGGTGTCCCCAATGCCAATTCTTCTCTAATAACTTTATCGTTCTTAAATTATTTGGGAAAAATCCAAAACACGTGCTTATGAATAGATATAATTTTTTTTTTTTTTCTACTACTTATTAAAGATGATGGGTGGGGTTCAACCGTTCAGGAACAACATACTCCCAACTGTTATGCATTGAATGTCCCTTAATTTGCTGTTTTTTTATTTTAGGCACATGATTCTGACTCGAGCCACGTAATTCCATGTGGGCCTGGTAGGTTAGGATGTTGGCATTATCCAATATGCAGAATATTTCTCTTGGGAATGGAATCCAAAACCTTGATTCTAATACCACTTGTTAGGATCAAACGATTACCATTATGTCAAAAGCTATAACTGACAACAAATGCACAATTTTATTTTCTTAACTAAATCCACCAAACAAGCGTATGTTCGATCATCACTCCGACTCGAGCCACCCAGCTACTCGTAGGCCTTGTCTGTAGGATGTTGGCATTCCCAACACCATTTTACTGGCAGCATTATAAAAGCTTGCTAAATCTTAAGGAATCAATATAAACCAAAACCTCATTTTTCATCCATATTTTTTTTTTTTTTAAAATATGGAGATCATTTATTCCTCTACTTACAACTTTGTTGCACTACTCATATTCTTTCCCTTTTTGTATACTCTATTTGTCAAATTACTTAGAAAATCATCAACAAAACAAGAAAAATTGCCTCCAGGTCCATGGAGACTTCCCATTATTGGTAGTCTTCATCACTTGAGAGGTGCACTATTATTTCCACACCGTAGCCTAAAAAATCTAGCAACAAAATATGGTCCGATTATGTACTTACAACTGGGAGAAATTCCTGCTGTGATCATATCGTCCCCTATTATGGTGAAAGAAATACTAAAAACTCATGAACTGGCCTTTGCTACTAAGCCACAACTTACATCCATAAACATCACTACTTATAATTATAAGGACATTGCATTTGCACCATACGGTGATAAATGGAGACAAATGCGTAACATTTGTGTCACGGAGTTATTAAGTACCAAAATGGTCAAGTCATTTAGTTCAATTCGGAAGGATGAGATTATGAGACTCCTCTCATCAATCCGATCCACTAATGCTTCTCATCTTGTCAACTTAACAGAGCTAATTCTTCGGTATACAAACTCTGTGACTTGTAGATCAGCTTTTGGGAAAGTATGCACGAATCAAGATCAATTGATAAATTTGTTGAGGGATGTGTTGGATACGTTAGGAGGATTTGATGTGGCTGATTTGTTTCCATCGTGGAAGTTACTTCACAAGATGAGTGGGGTGAAATCGAAACTCTTGAAGATGCATAAGAAAGTTGATGAAGCTTTGGAGAATATTGTTAATGAGCACATTAAGAATAGAGCCCTTGGATACAAGGGAAATGGTGATATAGTAGGTGAAGATTTGGTTGATGTTCTTCTAAGAATAAAGGAGAATGGTGAACTTCAATTTCCAATCACAAGTGATCACATAAAAGCAATCATTTCTGTAAGTCTACCTCTTAATTAAAGTATATACATACACGATTACGGTTAGTGTAAATAATTTTTTATCAGCAAGTTTCCATAAAAATAATAATTATAATCTTGAAAATAGGGGAAGATTACTTGTTATAATAGGTAAAAGTGATAATATAACTTTTTTTAGCACTAACATTATATATACTTAAAAAACTTAAATTCAACATTCTAATAGTTATGTGTATATGTACTTATTTTTTGCTCTAGGACATGTTCGCTGCTGGAACTGAAACTTCAGCTGCGACTATCATATGGGCTTTATCAGAAATGATGAGGAGGCCAAATATTATGGCCAAGGCACAAAATGAAGTGAGACAAGTCTTCAAAGGAAATACAACTATTAATGAAGACGATCTTGATAAATTGATATATCTAAAGTTAGTGATCAAAGAAACATTAAGGCTACATCCTCCGAGTACTCTACTACCAAGGGAATGTAGGAAACAAACGTATATTAATGGATATACGATACCTCCAAAGACAAGAGTACTAATAAATACATGGGCCCTTGGAAGAGATTCAGAAAGTTGGGACGACCCTGAAAGCTTTATACCAGAGAGATTTGAAAATTCTCATGTTGACTATATGGGAAATTATTTTGAATTTATTCCGTTTGGTTCTGGAAGAAGGATTTGTCCAGGAATGCAATTTGGTTTAACTAATGTTAAACATCCTTTGGCTCAGCTCCTCTACCATTTCGATTGGGTGCTTCCATATGGAGCTAATCCAGAAGACTTGGATATGATTGAAAAAAATGGATTAAGTGCAGCTAAGCATAAAGATTTGTGTTTAATTGCCATAGAACACAAAGATGATGGCAAAGTTTGATGTTGTGCTTTAAATGATGAAAAGTCACAATATAGTACTATATGTATAATTAATAATCTCCTTTAATTTTAGTTTATATGTTTTAATTTGTGTCACACTTACATCTTTGTAAAATTAATGAGCAAATTAATAATAAGATCTACAGTTGTTTGGATCATATTTTCCTTTTCTTTTCTCTAATACATTAACATCAATGTTTTTTGTCCACATGAAGATCCCAGATTAAGTTCAATGCATCAAATCATATATATAACTTGTCGATAAATATATGAATTTTAAAAATGCTTAAGGAATTAACATGCGACTTTGTATCACATCATTACCGTCATGAACATAACAGTACTATTACATAGATCACCGATCGGATTATTAAAAATTGGGTCAAAATCAAGGACCAAAATTGATGGACTGGATCGCTTTTTGGGCTTAAATATACCCCTGAAACTAACTGACAATACATAGATACCATATATGCCTTGGTTAATACTAGCATTATGATGAACATAACTTACAAATTTGGAATTATTTGTTAGACTTGCCTTCTTTCCAAAATAGGGTCTCTTGTTCCAAATTTGGAGTACTAGTGTATAATAGTTGTGATGCTTAATGTGATTGGTGCAATAGTGACTGAATGTTGATTATTAACAATTATGACACTGATAATTGTGAATGTGATTATATAAAGGTGATTGATCAGGGTAGTTATAGTTAATGATGATAATAGTGACAAATTGATGATGATAATTGTGTATTAATAACTAGCGGGCGATGATGGATAAAAGTGATAATGAAAAGTCATTTTACAAAAATCATTGAATAACCTCTTAATAGTACTCCATTAAATACTATCAACATGGTTCAAACCAATTCAAACCAATTAGATAATTAAATTTTAATAAAGATAAGTGCACTCCTTAACAAATTACTATATGTGATCTCAAATTATTTTAAGTTCAAAGTCAATTAAATAAGAATATTTTTAACAATATAAACTCTTTTATTTGATAGTTATTAATTACAGATTAAGAATGACATAATCAATGACGCCATCGACCACCAATGATATTTAGTTCTAATTATTAATAATTAATAATAATAACAATTAGTGCTACACAAATTCTTCATTTTTTTTTATAAACATAAAACTATATGGGCTGCTTGACAACAAAAGAGGTTGGATCTTGAAAAGTAGGTGAGGAAATGCATCTGGTGGTTCTGATTTAGAAAACTTATTTTAGGGATTATACAAAATTATTATGGATAAATTAAATTTATTGATCAAGCTAAGAATGATTAAAAACTAAAAAGTTATAAGTCGAGGATAGTCAACTTATAATTTTTGTCTTATTATGACTTTAAGCAACATGTACAGTGTTTATAAATAAAATGTACAGTGTTTATAACTCAGTTTGATGAGTTTATTATAAGCTTAGTTAAATATGCTCAAAGTATGCTAAGTTTCTATTTTCTAACTAGAAATCATTTTTATAATTTAATTAATTAATATTATTGTTATTCACATTATGAGTTGTTGTAAATACTTTATATAATTAAGCAACTTTAAATTTTTAAATAGTAATATCCAAAGGGTTTCTTGTTTACATTTATCTTGTATCTATTGTAAATTATGTAATTTAGTACGTAGTCGATAATTGCAGATTATGTAATTTAATTAACAAACATAGATTATGTAATTTAGTTCATAATTGTATATTATGTATAATTTAGTTAAAAGTTATAAATTTTAAACTATTTTATACTTTCACCGGTATTCTTATATTTACGAAAGACTTTTTTAATAAGTTAGTCCTTTGTTTAAAAAAAATGTTAGTCCATCTTAGCTATTCCATCCAAAAACAAAGCTCATGAGAGCTTAGCTGGGTTGGAATATTGGATCAACCCGTTTTGATATCTCTATTCACAACATCCAACGTTGAATTGAATTTTCTTTTTAAATTTTTCTTTCGGAAAAAGGATAAATATACCCCTGAACTATCGTTAATAGTATGTAGATACTCTCTTTCATACTTTTGGGACATTGGTGCCCCTGCCGTCCAAAAACTAGAGCATATATGCCCTTTACCCTAACGGAAGACTAAATAGGGACACGTGGCACAATCTTATCCGTTGATCCGATATTTAATAAATGTCGGGTCGGTGGATAAGATTATGACACGTGTATGTCCGTTAGTATAAAGGGTATATGTGTCCTAGTTTTTCGACGGCAGAGTCACCAATGTTCCAAAAGTATGACGGAGAATATCTGCATACCATTTACGATAGTTCGGGATATATTTATTCTTTTTCCCTTTTCCTTTTATTTTCAATCTTTTGGAGTTCTTATTTACGGGGAATATAATATCCAATAAATTCTTGAAATAATTTAGTTTTGTTTGTTTAAATGTTCATCCCCAATTTTATTTTCATTTTTTAAAAAAAAATTCAATCAAACATCTCGATGGCTGAAAATTCTTAGTCAAAATATTTCAGAGACTAATGAGAAAGTTCCAAATGAATGCATCAGAAATGATCTCATGTAAGCAAAATTGACCACGTGGCTAAAGGGGTCTTTTTTTCTTTTATATCGGCTAATTGGTTAAGTAAAATATATATATATATATAGACTTTGTGGTAAAACTTTCAACAAATACATCCCACGGTGACAATCTTGATTTATTAAGTACCACATGGTACTAAATACTAATTTATTAGTATTTTAAAATCATAACCAAAATTAAAATTTTAAAATCATCCCAATCCTAATTTATGTGACAGAAGCAGTACAAAAATTAGTTGTCTTGTAGATATTTTAAGTTATTATTTATTGTAAATTATAGTACTTTTTATTAAAGTTTTTAATAACATATATTACTTTTTATGTTTGAGAGTTAAACCAACTTTTTTTTTATATGTTTTTTAATTTTATATGTGTTTTGTCCTTTTCCATTTTGAAAAACCAATACTCTTCTTATATAGTAATATATAGATTTTGTGGTAAAACTTTCAACAAATACATCCCGCAGTACAATCTTGATTTATAAAGTACCACATGGTACTAATTACTAATTTATTAGTAATGCTAATCCTAATACTAATATTCAAGGCTTCTAGAAATCATTTGGGGATTATTATAACACTATAATAAAAGGTCACTAGAATTACATAAATCAAATCATCCACTACCAATAGCTAGCATTTTAATTTCCTTCATTCTTGCAGCTCATTAAATTAAATCAATGGAGATGAATTTAGTTTCATTTCTCCTCTTATTCTCATTCCTTTTAATTATTTTTCAAAAATGGAGAACAAGCCAAAAACAAAATTTGCCTCCAGGTCCATGGAGACTCCCACTCATTGGGAGTTTGCATCACTTAATTAGTGGACATAATCCACATCGTATTTTTAGAGATCTAGCTCGAAAATACGGCCCCGTAATGTACTTGGAACTTGGGGAAGTTCCTACCGTGATCATATCATCACCTTCTACGTCCAAACAAGTTTTTAAAACTCATGATCTCGCCTTTGCTAGTAGGCCACAATTTACATCCACTGATATTGTCATGTACAATAATAAAGATATTGCATTTGCAGAATATGGTGACTACTGGAAACAAATGCGCAAAATTTGCATAATGGAACTTCTAAGTGCCAAGATGGTCAAGTCATTTAGCTCAATTCGAAAGGATGAACTCTCGAGTGTTCTCTCATCAATTGATTCTGTTGGGGGTTCTTGTGAAGTGAACATGACGGAAAAAATTGTTCGATTCACGAGCTCTGTGACATGTCGATTGGTGTTTGGGAAATTGTGCAGAGATCGTGATGAGTTGATAAATTTGATGAAAGATGCGTTGTTTTTAGTAGGAGGATTTGATGTAGGTGATTTCTTTCCATCGTGGAAGTTACTTTACAAGATGAGTGGAGCAAAGTCGAAATTGGTTAAAATGCATCAAAACGTTGATTCAGTTTTGGAGAGGATTGTTAATGAACATATTAAAAATCGAGCAGCGGGGATCAAGGGAAATGGTGCCTATGGAGGTGAAGATTTGGTTGATGTTTTCCTAAGAATTAAAGAGAGTGATCAACTTCAATTTCCAATCACCAATGACCACATAAAAGCTGTGATTTTGGTAAAATAATTTTCCCCCATTTTCTTTTTATATTGTTTTAGAGTTATTATCATTAGATTGTTCCGTTGTCTTATTATTTATTTATTGATGCGCACAGGACATGTTTACTGCTGGGACTGAAACATCATCCACCACTATTATTTGGGCATTGTCAGAATTGATGAAACACCCAAATGTTTTGGCCAAGGCACAAAGCGAAGTGAGACAAGCCTTCAAAGAGAAAATTGATTTTGATGAAGAAGATCTTGATAACTTGCCGTATCTAAAGTTAGTTATCAAAGAAACATTAAGGCTACACGCTCCAAGTATAATCCATAGGGAATGTCGGGAAGAAACAATTGTTGATGGATATACAATACCTGCTAAGGCCACAGTGCTAGTCAATACATGGGCAATGGGAAGAGATCCTGAAGTTTGGGATGATCCCGAAAGTTTTATACCAGAGAGATTTGAAAATTCTCCTATTGACTATTTGGGAAATAACTATGAGTTTCTCCCATTTGGCTCAGGAAAAAGAATTTGTCCAGGAATGCAGTTTGGTTTAGCTAATGTTAAACAACCTCTAGCGCGGCTCCTCTACCACTTTAACTGGGGTCTTCCATGTGGAACAAATACTCCAAAAGATTTGGATATGAGTGAAAAAAGTGGATTAAGTGCAGCGAAAGAGAAAGATCTCTACTTAATCGCCAAAACGAATCAAAGTTTGGATGCCATGCTCTAAATGAGCAAAGAATAAGCTTTTCCTCAACTTCTTTTAGTTTGGTGTTTTTTCCTTCTTTCTCCCTTTTGTCTTTGAAGATTATTTACATTGAAAATAAGTATAGAATAAGCACCATAATTAGTTTTACAATTTTAGTTCAAAAGGTTAGATTA